TTTTACTTAGGGATGATTTTAAGTATAATTTTAATTGGAACACAGCTTCTAATATTTGGTTTTTAATTTGGTTTTATAGGGGTTTTTATCTTTGTATTTTACATTTGTATCTGTTTTAATATGCTGTGCACCGCCCTGAGTCCTGCGGGAGAAGGGCGGTATATAAATTAAATTATTATTATTATTATTATTATTATTAACAACAAAACAAAACAAAACAAAACAATAACAATAACAACAACAACAACAACAACAACAACAACAACAATAATAATAATGCTCTCCGAGTTTGCTGCCGCCGCCACCGCCGGGTTCCCCCGGCAATGCAACCCACACCCTGCCGACCACCGCAGCGGTTTTTGCAAAACCGCATCCACGTGCAAGACAGCAGAGGCGCCCCGGGGGGCGGGGGAGCGGGACAAACGGGGCCGGCGTTGGGAGCGCTCGCGCCAGCTCCTTTCCCCCCCCCCTCTCTCCTTATCCCCTTCCACCGGCCGGGCGAGAGCCGCCTCCGGATTGGCTGAGCGGGCTCACGCGAGCCGGCAAAGCGAAGGGGCGGAGGGAAAAAAGAGGGTGGTTGATCGAGAGTAACCCCGGGCGGCCCGCAGTCGTCCTCCGCTTGGCGCGCGCTCGCTCGCTCCGTCGTCTTCGTCTCGTGTGCTTCTGCCTCGGGCGCGCGCGCGCCCCCCCCTCACTCTCCTCCGGCTCCAGCCGCTGGGCCAAGATGGCGGCGCTGAGCAAGTCCATCCCCCACAACTGCTACGAGATCGGGCACACCTGGCACCCCCACTGCGGGCGAGCCTTCGTGCACATCACCCAAGGGGCGTTTGGAGAGTCGCTCCGCATCTATGGGACCCTTTACCTGGTGAGAGGCCCCCCCCCTTGCCTTCCTGCAACACCCCCCCTCTACTCACCTTCAGGTTGGGGAGGAGGGGAAGGAGAGGAGGATGGATGTGGAGTTGGGAGGGAGGGAGAGAGGGAGGGAGGGGGAGAGGGCTTGGGGGGTACAGGTGTGAGGGCACCTGTGTGGCAGCTGCAGCTGGACTGGACAGTGGGTTGGTGTGACTGTCAAAAGACACCCCTCCCTCCCCCTCCCGAAAATAGATCAGATTGATGCAAGTTTCATCATCCCTGGAGGTTTTTTAAGAGAAGACTGGACAGTCACTTGTCTGAAATGGGACAGGGTCTTCTCCTGCTTGAGCAGGGGGTTGGACTAGAAGACCTCCAAGGTCCCTTCCAGCTCTGTGCTGATTGATGGAAGCCTTGTCTGCCATCCTGAATGTGACCTCCAGGTCTCTCAAGTTGAGAGGCTTAAGTCTGTTGTGTTAGTCCTGCTGGCTGCTATTTTCTAAAAAAAACAAAACCGTGCCCATTGTCACATATGTAATAGATGGAATAAATTATATCCAACTCTGTTATTCTATGTTCTATATAGCTCTGATGTAATGGCATCTTTACCCGCTGTGTATACTGTATATTGCTGTATGTCTATGGAGGTTCTCAGTCTGTATGCACATTGCTGTATACATGCATAGGATCAGGTGACTTGAGGGATTGCTTTCTCCCAAGAACATCTGTTTGCCCCACAGCTTCCACAGGGAGGGCATGCCCCATCTTCCCTGTTTCAAGTCTTGTCATCTTATGGGACTTGGGAGCTGTATGACATGCACTCTTGCTCTTTTCCCTAAAGGCACACTTAATAAAAAAAACCAACCCTTATATTTAAGCTCTCCATGAGTCTACAGATTCCAAGGCAAAAAGGTGCTTCTGAGTTTGCAGGGTTGTAAAACACCCCTCTATATCTGATTTAAAGGAAAGGTGACTTTTGCCAGGGTCACATGACAAGCAGCATAATCCTGGAAAAAGACACAGTTGCTTTAAGGCAGGCATGTCAAACTCGTGATGTCGCACGACGTATTGGAACTTTTGCCCCATTGCCGGCAATTGGGGTGGGCACGATTTCGGCATGATGTATCCAGCCCGCGGGCCGGCAGTTTGACATGCCTGCTTTAAGGAGTTGCAGATAGTACTGCATTTATATCTCTCTGTCTTCTTAAGCACATTCTTCCCTTGGTATCTGAAGTGCTGCAGAGTCCTTTTAGAGCCAGTTTGCCATAGTAGTTAAAGCATGAGGCTAGAAACTGGGAGACCATGAGTTCTAATCTTGCCTTGGACACAAAGCCAGATGGACCTTGGGCCAGTCACTATCTCTAAACCCTAGGAAGGAGGCAATGTTAAACTACTTCTGAAAAACCTTGCCAAGAAAACTGCAGAACTTGCCCAGGCAGTTTCTGAGAATTGGACAAGATTGAACGGAAGGGGGGGGGAAAATGTCCTACCTATTATGCTTTTATTTCACTTTTCCTGCACGAATGTCAAAATGATTTAGGGTTTCTAGGGAGATTTGATCTTTTATTAAGCCCCATAGCTATTTAGCTTCTATAAGAATATGACAGCAGATACTTGTCCTTCTTACTTGTGCAAATATATTGAGCAAAATGAAGTGTATATATAAGTGTTTGAATT